GTTTCGTTTTTTTTTTCTTTATATATATCCTTTGTTTTGTTTTGTTTTGTTTCGTCCGTGAGTCTTTCTCTTAACGACAAAAACGAATAAAACCGCACACAGTCTCCCTTTTCTCCTTCTTTCGCTTTCTCACTATCACTCACTGACTGCCGCTGACACTGCTAGTGACGCGACAGAACGTACTCTATATACTCACTGCCAGAGTGTCGTAAGTGGTACGCTGATCGTTCATCGCTGAACGGTCATCGCTTCTATAGAGTCCTTTTAACGTGAATATTTTGTTTTGTTTGAATCGAGTTCGGATCGACGTTTCATCGGTAATAAGCGGCCTCTAACATTTCTACGAACAGCTTGTTCATCGGTACCTTCCCCGTTCGATAGACACTCGACCAGAATCTCCGAACAATACCGTCGACCTGCCTGAGACTGGGCAACACTAGGAACATGTTTTGTGTAGCACGGAGCGCCTGGCCCGGTCTTAGTGCCGCCACGCAATCCGAGAGGGAGTTCAGTATAGTGTCCCGGAAACGGTAGAGCGCCAATGGCTCGTCAGACCTAGCATCACTGTTAGCCAGTATCAAGGCTTTCAACATGAAATACTCTTCCCTAGTTAACCCCAATCGCTGAAGCCTCTCCACGATTTGTATGCACTGTTCAAAAATAACAAAATATCATTCGGCCGTGACTAATGTTTATACTATTCAAGTAACGTTAACTTACAGTACTAGAAATTTCGATACAAGTTTATTCAATGTTCCACTTTAATTCGAACATTTTCACTGATTCGAAATTGAAATGCGAACGAACCAAGTTACAAGAGGTTTCATTCAAACTGAATTAATGGTACTCACGTGCGTATACAGCTCCGTACAGTGGCACTCGCGCGCAAGTCGTTCGTCAAGAGTGAAATCTTGGGCAAACCTTAATCTACCGTTGTTTGGTATACTCCTCCACGCAAGGCTAAAGGTCAAGATTTCAGCCCACGTGCTTTGCAACAATCGCATCTGATCATTCAGAGCCAACGTACTGAATCCTGGGATCTGCTTCGCCCAACCTGACAATCAATCGGTAAGAATCACGTTGACATAACAATCGCTCGAACGGCAACTTAACGAATGAAGTAATCGCCTTACCAATGATTCCAACCAATTCTCGATCATACAGATCCGACAGCTGTCCAAGGATTCTCTGATCCGTATCGAGGGTGTGGGAGAGATTAGAGACTTGCAGCATATCAGGTTCACAAGCGGCCAGTGCTTCCAGCATTTTATTATCTACCAATAGATAAAACCGTTTTATCGTTTTGGTCGCGTCATGTTTGCACAGGAATTTCAGAGACGCGTTAGAATGGAACAATTTCGTGCCGCGACTAGAAAATCTGAGCTTTGACCATCCAATTAAGCAAATTGAGAGGAGCCGATAGCTTACTTATTATTTCGTTAGAAGCTCCTGTCCCTACGTTTGCTAGAAAGAATAAAATAATATTCAGATTTAATCTTGCCCGTCTTCAGAGACCGGTTCACCGGTATATTCTACATGGATCTAACAACATTCAAATCAAAGGTATTTCATTTGATGATTATTAACAATTACCTTCCAACGGGGCCGTCTTGATAGGCGTGTAGGGATCAGTAGACCTTCTGTACTTTTGCCTGCCTCCGCGGACTCGATCCAGTCGAACGCCTTCCTTCAGCATGCCCTGTCGAAGGCACTTCTGAAACCTGCACGCCTGACACGCTTTCCGTCTGCGCTTGTTTATTTCACACTCGCCGTTCGCCGGACACGTATACTCGATATTACCTGTGAAATTACTCGCTATTTTATCGTAATATACATGGTCCTCGCCCAGGTAGCACCAGCGCCAGTTCTACGAACAGCTACACGCGCATCGAATCTTCGGGCTGTCGAACAAGTATGTTCCGATTCTTAACGTTTCAGCAATGGCGGAGACCTTCCCCTTTCAGGAGACACTACCGAACAAACATGACAGTTGCGGTTAAACGCCGGTTATCGGTTCAAGCGTTAATTTTCAAGACTGAGCTACTCGGAACAAAGTTACGCAGCAATCACCGTTATTAAGTAATTCCGATTTTTAGTGTTCTCTATATACTTCTGTATACTACCAGGTACGTCTGAAGGGTAAAGAACAATTTGGAAACGAACTTATTCGATAGCCTAAGTCGGCAACGACACGAATAAAACGCAGCGGTGTTAACGGGCAAGCTGAGGGCGTCCAGCAATTATTATTAATCGAGAGTGGTGCTACCTGGAAAACGGTTCAAAAGAGAATATTTATAAGTGCGAGGAAACTCTTCTTACCTTGTATGGTTCTTTTAAAAAAGGCCTTGCACGCTTCGCAGGACGCGACTCCATAATGAAACCCACTCGCCACGTCCCCGCAGACCAGGCAAAGCCTTCTGGGTATCATGTCCTCCTCCTTGACGCCTTCCTAAAACGAGACACACGTTCCTGGTTTAACGAATCACGGAATTTTATTATTGCAGACACGACACACTCGAACATCGTCACAAAACTGAACGTACCTCGGGTGTTCCTAAGGGTTGTGTCGTGGACGAACAATGATGCATTTCCGGACTTCCTGGACTACCCCCGCCGCCGCCGTAATCGTTCGAAACCTCCATCTTGCTACAGATTACCTGAAACATCAAGTTACAATCATCCGAAACCTATCGTGACACAATCCTACTAGAAAATATTCGACCCCTGAACCACCAGGAGGAGCTTCCCCCGTACAATAAAATACAAACTCGCGATTAGACTAAGTTTATTTTTAACCTCTCGAAATCTTTAGTAGCAAGAATGACCATCTGCTGGATCCACCTCTCGCGAGATGACAAAGGAATTTGTAAATCTACAAAAACAGTTTCTTCACAATTTTTAAACGTTAAGATAAACAAAGCTATATTAGATTTAAGATATATTCTCCTTCGTTGTCTGTAGTCTGTCTGCGCACTCTAGTAGTTCGATTAAAAAAAGTTTTGTCAGAGAACCAGGTTATTCATTAGGATGACATAGCATCTTTCGCAAACTTATCTTTGCTTCGAGCGAAAGCCTTCGGAACAAACCTCTGTTTCAAGGCATTTTTAGATGGTACCTGAAGTCAGTAATCTCTAAGGTACTAAGAGGGTTTAGCTGGCAGTTTTCAAATCCGTGGATCGCAACGACCGCGCAAAAATACCTCTTGATGCTGAAGAGTGGTGGTCGGTGAACAGACTTGATAGTTCTGCGTGGGCGTGGTGGGATTCTCGATTTCTTGCTTGATGTTCGCCATCGTCCGGTTGTTCCCGACCATGGTTTCGGTACCGGTGCCGGACATCATGCAAACCTGCGACAGTGAACGAGCAATTTCAGCGTCGGATCGATCGCGTCTGTCGGCGCGGGGAACGGAAAGCGCGTTCGATCCCCGGCGTTCGTTCAAGAACGCGCCTGTCGGGACAGGAAACGCGCGTCTAGCCGGATCCGCGGGTCCTCGCGCGCGCCGTTCCAAAAACCGAGGACACGGCCCGCCTTGCAGTCGGCTGCACTTTTCTTTTTTCTTTCGCCGCTATTTTTAAGCGCGACCAACGCCGCAAACATTTTTAGAATTGACTTCAGAAAACACACGGCGAGCGGCCGTGCGCTGTCGATGTTCTCGGAAGATGGTGGACTCGCTCGCTCTCTCGCGCGGACCGAACAATTGCGAAAACACCTTTTACTTTCTCTATCGCCGCCCAATCCGTTTCTTCGTTCGCGGAATCGAGCGAGATCGAATCACGTTGCACTGTAAGGCCGCGTGCACACAGGCACACCATTCGGGAAGTCCACAGTGCCGCCTGTGGACAAAACCCTCGAATTCCACTGTTCGCATAACGAAAATTGAAGGTCGCCAATGCGTCACCGAGTAGCCCCTGCTGCACAAAATGATTCTCTTTTCGAAAGTTTCAATTTTGTGCAAAGCAATTCCGTGTCTGTATTTATATAATGTTGAGATAAAAACGCAAAGTATCCATTGTTGTTGAGAAAGATTCATACCCGATGAAAAGGATGAAAGAACTTTACGTCCCCGTTCTTCCAAAGTAATCGCTGCTGCGACGCTTTGTTGCGAACTGTTCGTGCGTGTTTGACCTAAAAATGAAACCCAAGGGATTGATCGGTCTACGATAGCCGTCGAACGATTAACTTTCGCGCTGAATGTGAGACATTTTGCTGACGTCAGAAATTTTTATCGTGGAATACGAAATGGCAAAGACAACTGAATCATTCGAATAAGAGGAGATCGGATAGTTTTCTTTTTTTGTAGTACTTAAAAGAGAGATTTTGGTTCATCCGCAAAAGGATAAGCCTGTGTGTGTTTGTGTGTGTGTGCTGTTAATTAAGTGGAGAAGGGGAACGATGATTCATCGCTAGACCGCGCGTTTCACACGTTCGCAGCGTGTTCGGGATTTTTTCGAATTCTTTAGGGAAATTGAATATCCAGATGAAAATGGATCCAGTCAACTCTAGCTGAGGATCAATTTGGAGCGAGTTAATTCAGCAGTTGCATTCAATCGTGTCCTGCGAGTCGCTTTTCTCTTTGCCTCTACAAAAATCCTCGTGCTTAACCGCGTCGCCGTGCCCAGGCTGCGATAAATTACATCACGCTCGCATTTATCGAAGCCTGGATCGCTTCGGACCATTACTATTCATGCCTGACCAAGTTCACGTAGGTGTTCGTAGCGAACAAATTATCCCGTCGACAGGTTAACGAAGTTCAACGATGTTTTTATCGGGTCGGAGTAAATTTCTGTGAACAGACCCATAAAAATCGGCATCTGCATAAACGGCCGGAGCCATTCACGAGATCCAGGAGCTCCGAAATCGCCGGGAAAATTCGAGTGCCGGCTGACGGGGTCTCTAGAACTGGTGGATCCGAATGGTACGGATGCGAATTGCTAGATTTCATGACACGCGCTAGTTGGAAGAGCAGTTCAACGTCGACGTATAATCATCGGAAGCAACTGGCACACGTGATAAACTGAAGAGAGTCGTAGAGGCAAACGGACGGTAATCCAGGTTGCACGGGACCTAAGCGTTGATGCATGCAACACGCTCGCGTACGAGAGGCTTAAGAAACGATGGGAAATTCGATGGAAAACTAGCGGTTCCCACGCGACTACATCATCTCGAGGGTCGGTGAAAGTGCGGATGGTCGAACGCGCAGAAGACACTGTCCAGACGCAGTGTCCTCAGCCAATGCTGATGGTACTCGGGAATACCTCGTAGACGTTGGAATCGCAACGAGGGACAATCACTTGATGCTTCAGCTAGGTGTCCATCTGACACAGTAGTAAAACTACTATAAGTTGTTTCCCTCGAGTGGATACGTGTTGTCAAGCTCGCCGTCACTCTCAACGCGGTATCCACTCGAGAGAAACGCTTCGGACAGCAACTCGCGGTAGCTTCACTGGCAAATGGACACTTAGCTTAACAGCGCATCTTCTGTCCGCGTTTCTAGGGAGAACTGACAACCTCGCAGTATTAGGGGATCGACAGGCGAAGGATTGGTCCTCGCATCGAATTCCTGTATCCGGTAAACTCCACTTTTCCCCGAAACCCAAAGATCCGCAAAGATGGCGGCCTGCGATAACGGGCCGCCAGACACAAGGAGATAGGTCTTAAGACAACGGCCGCGGATTTATCCATTATCGTACATCACGGCAGCTCCCCAATTGTTACAAATCTTTGTTCCCCAGTCTGACTCTAGATCCTTTGAATACCCGGGGAGCAACTACAAAAGGACTCTCTTGAATCGACAGCAACGCGACTCTCCGTCAGTCTATACATTTAATTCCGTTGGACAGTTTCGTTTATCACATTTATTCATTGCTGTTGCTTGTGGAGACGTTCTCCCGAAGTTACCTAGACGACACGCCACTACCCCGTGCAACTTCTATCACGGGGTAGAGAAGGATCCTAGCGTCGGAGCGTCCTTAAGCGAACGGTAGGTAGGGCGATGGCGAACAAAGTAACGGTGAAAGGATTGCGTAAGCCTCGCTCCTCTTTCGTCTCCCCGTCTCTCTTCCCGCCGCGCGGTGTCGTATATTAAATGTACGCAGAAGAGGAGGGGGAGAGAGAGAGGCAAGAGGAAGAGGAGTAGAGGGCCGAGGAGGTGGAAGGCGTGGAGCGGAGGAGACGGCAAGGGAAAGAGGAAGAAGACCGCGGAGTATCTGGTTAGCCTTGAACCTGACTTTTCTGCGAGATGCAGTTGCGATCGTTTACGAGTAATACGAAAGAGCAGCCGGGACGGGGAGAGATTTATGCGCCGGAGGCCGGAGAGACGATCTTTCCTCTCGCTGCCGAGCGTGTTATCGTCGCGCCGGTGCCCAGGCGTTCACGGAACGATATCGGCGCGCCGCGTGTAATTTTAATTCCCCGTGAATAGCGAACGCGCAACCATTTGCCGCGGCGGATGCCGCGCGCTCGAAAGCCGAACTGACTAACTCCACGGATCATCTCGATTTTTACTCGAACACTTAACCCCTTTGCGCGCGAAGATTCTTTAAAGTATACAAAACCTGCGGGTTCTGCCAAATTATACATCGAACGCCCAAAAACTATGGAACAAGGGAACTATGGTAATGGTCTCTTGCTGTTCGAGTAGTTGAATCGTTCGTTTGCAACTTAGTATTACAAAGATGACAGTTCGATCTCGACGAAGTGTCGACATTCGTCCGTAAAGGGTTAACGTTGCATCGCGTATGCGATTCGATCGGATTCTTCTACCTTTTGTTCTCCGGAGCTGATCGCTTGGACGAACAAACTGGCATTTTTAAGTCTTCGAGTTATAATACGGAGACTCGCGGTGTACCAGATTTTTCTACTTGTTTTCCTGGGTTGATCGGCTCGAACCGATGAACAGAGCATTCGCGAGACTAACTTTCCTCCCGGGATCATCGGAAATTAGTTAGTACCGGGGCGGTTGAACGGCGTTTCACGCGTGTAATAAGATTGTTCCACCTTTTATTTTGCGAAGTTGATTACTCCGGCAAATGAATGGCTCGCAAAACGGCGAAAGAGGTTCGCTCCGAGGAGGCGAACCACGCGTTATCGATTTTATTAGACTTCGCGTTCAGTCCCGTCTCGTCTCGTCTCGTCCCGTCTCCTCTGCTCTCCTCTGCCGACCCGCCTCTCGTCTCGTCCCGTTTCGTCTGGCCTCGTCGCGTTAACGCGCCTCCTCGTAGCGATGTGTGGTGGGTAAAAAAACGTTTACGCGCGGGCGCGATGCGTTTTTCCCGTGACCCGACCGCGAATAGCATTGCGGTTGCGACGAAAGGGATGCGTCCATTTTTGGAGACCGTTCGGAGGTCCTGCACGTTCGTACTTTCCGAAATACGGTGGCATCTCGATTCACAGTCAAGATGCCTTCCCAGAAGGCGAACTCTTAAGCGAGGCAACGTTAAATGATGTCATCTTGTAATTAACATAAGGTGAATAGGAATAAGGAAATATAGAATTATTCTGAGCGACGTCGCTCTTATACTTGCTTCCATAAATATGTTCCTTTTTATTAGGTATCGACGATACGTGTATAGTAACGATTCTATTAAGAAAAGTTCCCAACTTTTCCTACGACTAAGAACAACCGAATTCGAACTTCCATTTTAATCTACTTTCGTATTAATTTGACAGCGTTGCACGAGGCCGTGCTTGCCAACGCTTCGAGACGTTGAACTTTAATATGAAATTAACATGAATTTATGATGCACGATAAACGCTCGTTAATTCAGATCCTGTTCCAGATGGCGGCGAGTCTTGAATTTTAATTCCAGAGCTATCCTTGAGAAACTGGATCGTGCAAGCCCGGAGTCTTCTGCCGGCGAGGATCGATTTTACTTTCGCTTTCGGAACGCGTCTATTTCGCCTTGACGTCGCCGCGTATACGCGAACCGTCGATCACGGGGGAACCGTGTGCTCGATAGGGTGCCGCGCAGGAGAGCCTCCTTTGACCTACTGCGCATTCGAGCGCACGGGCCAGCGTGCGCAGAAAAATGGAGCAGAAACGCGAGTGGGACCGTCCACGGAGGCGGTGACTGTCGAAGGACGGCCAGCGGGAAGGAAGAGCGCGCGATCTAAACAGGAAACGAGAGAAAAGCAAAAAAGGCGATGATATCGAGAAGCACGTCTGGTCGGCCTCGAACTTGACTAGTCGCGGGAACTGCTTCACGCGCGCTGCTCCCACGTTCGGTTTAATGAAATCAAAAACCGACTCGCGACACGCGCGAGCGCGCCCGCCAAGATGGACACCGGCGATCCGACCGTGACCGAAACGATGATGCGATAACGCGGGATGGTCCTTATCGCGAGCGT